CTGATAATTAATTAATAACATCAGAATTTTAAACAATAAAGATTATGTGATAATTTTGTTTGTTTCATTTTACAGCTGAGGAAACTTGGGAAACTTCCCCTTGATAAAAAACAGATGCTTGGCATGCCAACATTCACGCCCTGTACTTTCCTAACGCACAATTTAAAGGTAATACTTACCTAATAAATAAAATGTTGATAGTTATTATTGAAATATCTGTTTAGGTCAGTTCAGGGAGAGTAAACTGTGAAGACCTGAGTTTGGGAAGTGAGGAAAACAAGGCCCTCTGGTCTACATGTATATCCCCTTTGAGCTCCCCCTCCACCTAGGAGCCTCTGCGAAGGACAGAGGAAAAGAGAACAAGACTGCATAGTAATATAAATACCAGTACATGTACAGTAACACAAGATCAATCAATTGTATCTCAGAAATCAATGGTAAAATGAAAAGAAATCATACACGTAACTTGTACAATGTTCTATTTTGTAGCTCAAAGAGCACTGGCTGATGTAGAGGCAATGAGGGATGTACTACAGTATTTTGCACACAGCTAAAAGATCTAAATGACCAACATGAGCAATTTTTACGCCCCTCCACTTGAGCAAAAAAATAACTACAAGTCCATGGTGAAGATTAGAGAATAGACCAAGATGCGGTACTACTGAAATTTGGAAGTGCAATATCTGGCACTATGGCCAAAAAAATTGCAACAGAGGGATTTGATTTCAACCAGCTTAAAAACCTGGGAGCAACATTCCCAGGCAAGGACAAATTTATGCAATTTTTGTGGGCTAAGGGTCTTTCTGCAATATGCAGCCAAAAGTTAGTCACCTATTTCTTTCAGCCACAGGAAAATGGTGTTGGCGATGTTCTCAGATTGTAATAGACTCTTGTTTTCACTACAAAAGTTGACTAGACAGATTCTTTATAGGTTTTTCCTGAAACAGGGTCAGGACAGGAATATTAATAGGGGAAAAACCTAGAAAGCAATTTCCACACAATTTGAAGCCCAACAAATGGGAATCTAATTCATTTATATGAAACTGTGGGGTAACATGCTTTCGTTCTATGCAAAGTTTCTGTGGTCTGCAACCTAAAAGAATTGTTACTGTGTCCACAGTTGAAGTACATGAAAGTTCACAACACAATATACATTCTAAGTGCATGAGTTAAACTGATAAACAGCATTATTCAACACGCAAATGGCTGGTTTGCAGTGTCATACCATCAAAAATAAAAATCATAACCATGCAATAAATTAAGTCAAGAAGCTGGGATATGAAAGATGATTGATATATAAACAACCT